CCACTACTGGTTTCCCCGAGGCTGACTCATTGGTGGTATTCTTCTCACACTGGCTCATCATATGTCCTTGCTCTCTACAGTTCCAACAACCTTTCTGGGTAGCAGCCTTTCCTGCCGTGGCATCTTCCCTGTGTTGAAGTTTCCAGCATTGAGCTTTCTTGTGCCCAGATTTGTTACAGTGCCAGCAAAGTCCCTCAAACCTCTCTGAAAGCTGACCTTTTCTGGCCTTGAATCCTGATGACTGTACCAACCTTGGTACCTCTGTGCTGGACTTAACATAAGATTCAAATTCAAGAGCTCTGACCATTGCATGTTGTATAGTAGAGGGGTGTGCTTGCTTCACTTGTATCTTCAGTTGAGGACTGTCCAAGGCATCTACAAACTGATCCCTCAGCAACAACTTGAGTACATCGGGTGGCACAGTTGGGTAGGCCTTGTGTGCCATACTTTCCAATTCCAGTGCCAGCTCTTGCAGGCTCTCCCCTTTAACACGGACTCTAGTCCTAAACCTAGCCCTGTAGACTTCAGACTGATTTTGAGTTCCATACCTGAGCTCTAGAGCAGCTACCAGTGCTTTATAGCTGTGTCCGTCGTCTGCTGACGACTGTCCAAGTATTTCCAGTGGTTGTCCCTTTAGGTTTGTTGCCAGATATACTGCTTTCTGCTCCTCTGTCTATCCGTTCATCTCTGCCAGAAGCTCAAATTGTGCTCTATATGCTTCCCACGGTGCCTTCCCATCGTATTCCTGTGGCTTCCTTCGTACTAGATCATCCTTATTGCTGACATTCATATCTGGGTTGTGACTTCTAACAGGACTGCATTAGGGTTTAGCTGCGGGGTCTGGAAGGGGCTTCCTGTTGTCTGAGGCTGATTAGGTTGATGACTAATATATCCTCCTTGTGTAAAATACAGTAAATTATTCTTTAATGTATCTAATTCATTTTGAAATTTACTAATGTTTTCCATTTGTACTTCTTGCCATTGTTGTTGACTTTCCTGTAGTTGCTGCTGACTTTCCCGCAACTGTTGGAGACTTTCTTCCTGTTTCCTTTCTTGTTCCAGTTGCCACTGCTGTAGTCTCTCTTCTTGTTTATTTTCTTTCTCCTCCAACCACTGGTGTAGTCTCTCTTCTTGTTTCTTTTCTCGTTCTTCTTGTTTCTTTTCTTTTCCTCCAACAACTGCTGTAATCTCTCTTCTTGTTTCTTTTCTCGTTCTTCTTGTTTGTTTTGCTGTTCGAGCTGCCACTGTTGCAAGTTTTCTTGCCATTGTTGTTGTCTCTTTTCTTGTTTATCTTTTCGTTTCTTTTGCTGTTCTTGTATTGCTGCCATCAAATATGCTAAGCTGTAGTTTGATTTGCCACTTCTCATTTCCATCTTCTTCTTTTCTTATCCCACTCTCTGACACCAGTTTGTTACGTCTGTGTTCGTTTGTTAATTTTTCATAGAAATTCTTTCCGAGAAACTTCAGCGATACAAATCCTTTCTTAAATAAAACTAGTTTATTCTTTCTCAATACAACTTTGCAATACACTTAATTTCCACAGTCATTTAAACACACGCTATCATTCTCAATGAACGATTTACGCACTTTATTAATACCGTGCTTGACTCAATTGTCCACCTATATCTTCAATCTCTCTGTCCGCTATTCAATTCTGATTGATTGTCTCGCTTTATCTGGCACACTTATATACAAGAATAGAGGGCACCTAGCAAATACTGGATTAATCGTGATGTTCCCCGATCGTTCTAGAATCTCCTGACGTGTTACTAGCGTTACGTGACTTCCACTGTCGTAACAATATATTTTATAGTTCACAGTTTTAAATGTCATTACAAATTGAAAAAATGTCACTTATGGTGAATTTAATTATAAGTATGAAGGCTAATCACATAGTTGACTGAACATTTTAGATGAACTTAGGTGTGACAAGTTCCAATTAACTGACTCCAGAAGTCACATGAAATAGAAAGGACTTTTTTGTTTTCTGAAGACCTGAAAACTAAGACAAGGCAGAACAGCTCAAGAGTGGAGCCTAAACTTCATCCTTACCAACCAATGAAGTTAGAACAGAGACTTGTAGTTTTCAATAGATTAGTAGTTTATTTAGCTAAAGCATCTGCTCTGTAAGAGGAGTTACAGGTGTGATTCCTGTCCTGTCTGTTTTCATTTCTTTAGGTAAATTAAAAAATTGTGAGAAGTGTACCAGTAAGTAAAACATCTCAGACTAAAGGGAAAAGGTACATTCCAAAAAAATTGTGTATAATACCTAAAATCATTTTATTTCTGACACCTATGCGTATACAGTTAACTTTCAAACTATAATTTAACTTATACATGATCATGTGTAATTTTTAGTATTTTATACCATAAATATTTCTACTACAGTAAATAAAGTAATCCTAATAAATTAAGGAAAAGGATAAGCACATGTATTTTACACATTCGATAGTACTTGTTCCCAGTGTACAAGATGAATTATACATTATCTAGTACAGGTAGAATCATCTAGCCATACTTGTGGTCTATAAAATATTAACACTTTAAAACCATAAACAACCTTGAAAAACAAAAATGTTAAGACACCCAAGTTTAACATGTGATTTGCTTAATAATATAAGTTATAGAATTGATTTTACACCGTACATTCACCTTACTTTAAAGAATAATATAGTTATAAAACTATTATTTAAAATTTTTGTTAGATGGCAGATGGTTTATCCTTTATTGTTAAAAGAAAATCTACCCAGATAGAATCAACGATTTGGCATGCATGTAGGATGAAGTAAAACACATTTAATCTGAAAAGCTGTAGACACATTATCAAAATTTTTAAAAACCACAAAAGCCTAAAACCGTGAGCAAGATGTTATAGAAGGAAAGAAAGCAACATTTGCCATTAAAATATCTGGCTCATATTTTTTAAACACAGGATTTTTAACCTAGTTTTAGAACAATGTTTCCACAAGTTTTAAGTCAATTGTGTTACATGATACTTGGGTTTTATATTACAGCAAACACAATATTCTTGAAACTTTCACCTGAGCCAATTTTACAAGAGCACTCCGATCTCCTTAAAAGTCAACAATATTAGAGTTTCTATAGTTTTCTTAAAAGTCAACAATATTAGAGTTTCTATAGTTTCCTTAAAAGTCAACAATATTAGAGTTTCTATAGTTTCCTTAAAAGTCAACAATATTAGAACTTCTATAGTTTCCTTAAAAGTCAACAATATTAGAACTTCTATAGTTTCCTTAAAAGTCAACAATATTAGAGTTTCTATAGTTTCCTTAAAAGTCAACAATATTAGAACTTCTATAGTTTCCTTAAAAGTCAACAATATTAGAACTTCTATAGTTTCCTTAAAAGTCAACAATATTAGAGTTTTTATAGTTTATGCTATATTTTTGAAGATACTTTTTATCATCTCATTTCCACTTTGGTTTTCAAGCCTTTTCAAAGATAGTATTTACATAGTTAGTTTGAATTTCCTAAGCAAGTAATTTTTCATTATACAAAAGAATAATTTTCATGCAAAATTTCAAGCTAAGGAAAAAATAATGCATGTTGAGATTTTACTTTATATTCTTAAGAATTATTATTCATAACTGAGGTTGAAGCTAGTACTTACAATTTTTATTTTTCTAAGCTTATAGCTTGTTTACTACCGTCTCCTTCCTTTTCAGATCTTGGCAACAGTGGTGCCATGTGTAACTGCACTTCATTCAATGTAAGTCCTTGTTTCTGCCGGCGTCTACCTGAGGAATTGGAGCCTTGGCTTGAGCACGATGGAAAATTGGGCTTATTATAGCTTGGTAGAGTATCTGTTGCTGTACATGAGAAGAGAGGAAAGCAGTGTATTATCTATGTAGTTTTATGTAATTGTCAGAGAAATGAAGAACCTAATATGTTAAATTTTAGCAGAAAGCAAGATTTGACTTGAAACATACATCTAAATGCACTGTCCTGCCAGAAGTAACTGGTCATGTAGTCATAAATCATTCTAGTTAACTGTCCCAATACAGTGTAGCACTGTCCTTGAACTGAATAACTGCTCCTATTTGATTTAAACTATATTTTCACTAGTGTCGAGTACAATTTATTTTTTGCATCAAAAGCTTGGTCGTTTGTTTATATTCTAAAAGTGTGGTCTATACTTTCAAGTTAAACTTCTCAGATGGTGCAAAAGATATTCTAAATGGTTAAGATATGGGTTCTAATTAGGCCTTTCCATGGGTAGTATGTGTACTGTAGCAAGAATCATTTGCCTGATGATCAGAGGCTTGTACCTTGGCCTATGAAATATATTCCTAAATGATCTCTTAATGTCCAATAGTCACTTTAAATGCAGGCATTTTAGAGATAGATCACAGTGCTTAGTGTGCAAATGTTGGATAGGTCATGGCTACGAAAAATGGGTGTTCAGATATTTCTGAGAAAGAAGTGGTTTTATACACAAATACATGCTATTTAATTTTTGTATTTAAAAAAAATTTCTTTCATAATATGACAATGAACTTATACCATTAAATGGAAAGTCATTAATTGCCTGTAATACACAATTTAATTATTGAATGTAGATTATTGTTATGAATGAAGGGCACTCTCCAGTTTATTGTTTTATTTATGGAAGATCGTAGTAATGGTAACTTTCAGTTGGAGCTAAGTATCAATATACATGATTTTATGGGTGATCAGAGGCATTGCTAGGTACTGACATGCAGGGCCCATGCCCCAACTGTATTTGACAGTGCCCTGAATCCCCGGTTGGTGTTTTTAAAAATCAGAATAGAAAACCATGATCAATATCATATTGAAATGCCAAAAATTCCTGTATCTATGGGCCTCAACTCCGAATCTTTTAAGTATCTAGTGATGCTTCTGGGGGTGAAACAAACTGGTAGAAATTCTTTTGTACCAAATTATAAATATTAAATGTAGACTACAGTACAAGTTTTACAATACTTCCTTTGCTGTTAAATTATAAAACAGCTTTAAAAATCACAGGAGGGTGGTATATATATATATATATATATATATAGATATGTGTGTGTGTAATATTGTATACTCACCTTGCAAATTAATGGTTTATTCTAAACAACTGCATAAAGCCAATTTTATATTTTCAGTAACTTTCATATTTACATGTCTAAAGAGTTTGTAACTTACAACTGTCTACTTGTATAGACTCTTGACCAGTGGCAGGAAACCTTCCACTTGGCAACAAGGAAGTTTCATATGATCCTATTCGATCTGATGCACTTGATGGAGTATTGACAGAGCTTTGAGGCCCTGGAGAGAAAAGAAATATCTATTTAACATGTCTCATTAAGATGACTTTTTTTCAATAGTGATTTTTTCTCTCCAATAAATAGTATGAAATTAGCTAAATATGTTGTTTTATTTGTTGACACAAAAAATAAAATAAAATAAGTTATACCATTTGAATATTATTGGAAGTGTAATAATCATGCTTAACTCTTTAACTGACACATATCTAAATTAAAAATTCTCCTTGTTTCCCGTTTATTTTTAGATATACAATATAAACTTGTTGTTTTAGTAGTGCAAAGCTATACAACTGGCAGTCTACACTATGTCCACCACAGGGAACCAAACCCCAGATTTTTTTTAAACTTACTGCTGACCCATTGAAGGACCAGTATAAAACAAACAGACACTCGTTCAAGAAGTTTAATAATTATCTGAAAACTGAAACTGATAAAATTTCTTCATGGTGGTACGAAATTTAAAACTTCACGGCAGTGATGTAGAGAGGAACATGTATGTTTCCATGGCAGAGTTAAGTAATAATTAATAATAGAACTATCCTTTGATGATATTTTTGATAAACATATTTAAATGAGTTTAACTATGAGTTGATAGTTTACATTTTTCATTATTTGTGCATTCTGGACAAATTTTAAGTTGAATTATGGTATGAATGTCATGCACTAATAATATTTGAAAAAATGAAAATATTTTATTTCTATTCAACTTATTATATCACATTTATTTCAGTGTGTCTAATTAATTCTTAGTTCAGTGACTCTATGATATAAGTGGTTCCTTATGGGAACTCAATAGAACAAGAGTCGGCAACCTGAAGCTCTTTATCCCTCTTGCTGTCCAATTATCGAAATAGGGGTTACATGCTTTGTGGCTCTTAGTATCTTGTGTTTTTACTGAATTGACAAAAAAAAAGGCTCTTCTTGTTACTTGACGAAAATTATGAACACTTGACCAAGTAAAATAAAATTACATAGATAGATTTAAGCTCATCACAACAAGAATGCATAAGTAATAAAAACATAACAATGATTTCAATCTGATGCCAAAACTTCAAAGTGTGTCTAATTAATTCTTAGTTCAATGACTGTATGATATAAGTGGTTCCTTATGGGAACTCAATAGAACAAGAGTCAGCAACACAGACATTCATGCGTAGCAGCTGTTTATAATTTAGCAATAATTTTGTACCATAAATAGTTCTAAGAAACTTTAATGGATCACCAAACACCAAAATAATGTAGAATAACAGAATGAGTACGAATTTTTAAAGAGTGTTCACAGAACTTGAAATGCAGCTTGTTTTCAAGATATTTTATAATCAGTATGAAGGAAATTGAAACATTTATAATTAATTTATATCACATTTAAAGTACCTGATCCTGTTCGACTACCTTGGATCCTCTTCTTTAACTTTGGATGGGGTGGTCGAGGTTGAATTACGGTACTTAAATTACTGTCAGTGCTGTAAGGACTGGAAGGCCGGTAGGCCTGATGTCGTGGGATATGTTTCTTTTGGGAAGCTGTAGAGACATTACAAACCTCAATTTAAATACAAATATTTAGTACTTATTCTATTCAAAGATGCAATTGTATGTTTAATGAAAAATTGTTCAAATCTTCTAGGATACTAGCTTACAAATTCACTTGCTACACTATATTATAATACATATTATACGAGTAGTGTCAATCAAGAATGAGGTATTGAAGTATGGATCATTGTTGAATTTATTTAGGTGTTAAAGCTGATTTACCCTGATTGGTTTTGAATCAAGGTATAAACAACTGGTTTTCTTTGGATAATAATTATAATTTAATATTGTAATAGACAGGATTGTAAAATTATTTTATTTTATTATTAACTGTGCAGTAATATGATAAGAAAAAAGTGTTAACACGTTTTTTGTCATATTGACAATAGTTTTCAACCAGGTCTTATAGCCTGAATAATGTAGAATGATTACTTACAGATGTTGGGGTCTGTGACCAGAGACCCATCGACTCTGTAGCCTGCATTCTGGGCTGCTCGTGCAATAGCACTGGCAAAATCTGTTTCTGTATAAAAAGAGCCATCTGATGAACTAGCTCCACTGGAGCGGGCACTTGTACAGGAGCTATTGCTATGGTCAGTTGTACTTATCCATGAGGGACAATCACCTGGAAACAATGTAAGTTAGCTCAGTTGATATAGCACTGCATTATGAAAAATGCATTAAAGTTATTCACCTCAACCACACTTAAAGTACAAGTAAGGTATGTACCCTAATATACAGCTTCCTTCAAATATATTTAATGTTGCTATAGTATTCAGCAAAAGGTGGAATTCATTAGAATTTCAACAAGAATTGTGACTATATATATATAATTTCCTATAAACAAGTAGCAATAAAATATAAATTACAGTGACTGCTGAGACTCATAGCATAGCACTATATTTTCCTTGTTGTGTTTAATCACACTGGTATGCAGCTTCTACTACTTGCAGTTGTGACCTACTTATGAATCATTCAGGCCCCATAACATTCATTGTTATTATTTTTGTTACATCATAACATTCATCGTTATTATTTTGTTACATCATAACATTCATTGTTATTATTTTGTTACATCATAACATTCATTGTTATTATTTTGTTACATCATAACATTCATTGTTATTATTTTGTTACATCATAACATTCATTGTTATTATTTTTGTTACATCATAACGTTCATTGTTATTATTTTTGTTACATCACTTTGTAAAATCTCTTGCTGATATTTTTTAATAAGTAACACTATTATTAATCTCAAGCAAAATCATAAAAATTACTTAATTGTGTACTTTCCTAAAGTATAAGTTTGCTTAAGTTGTAGAAAACACTTGAATTGCCCATAAACTGACAGACAATCAGCAGAAAGTATGCAAGTAATTCAATATTATTCAAAATTTGGAACAAGCTTCTACTTTAGGAAATGTGATATCAAATCAAATCAGATTAATAATAACCAAATTCTCTTGAATATGTAGATGGTGCTGAACCTCAGCTTTCTTTACTTATCAAAAGGTTTTCAGCTGTGGTATCAACACTACATTTTGTACAAACATGTCATGCAATACTTGTCAAGTTTCCAGAGCATCTTCTTTCACATGAGTAGAAGTGGAGCCCAAATTTCTCGACATGACAATGACATGTGAGCTTATAGATGAAAAATGACCACTTATCTTTAGAAGCAATATCCTTCAAGTACATTTCTAATTCTTACAGTCGATTTAAACACATGTATAATCTGTATCTATGAGTAAATTCTGTCTGGAATTGATAAAAAATTTTTTTTAACATGTTGCTACTGTTGTCCTACATATGGTAATACCATTATCATAGTTTCATAGGCACATTCAACTATACAGCTTTTGGGGAAGGTAATTTATTTAACATTTTATTGATATTATTATAATCAATGGCAAAACTGCTAAGTTTATTATGTTTATAAAACTCCTTGGTACATGTTATTTCCCCATGTAAAAAATAAAATTATTGCTTACAATCCTATACCAATAAGAATATAATTTTAAGGATGTGAACCTAAGAACAAGCAGTCAATTGTCATTTATGAATTCAAGTGTCCATTTCATGTAGAGAAATGCATGCCAGTGGGTTCTACCAGTGGGTAATTGCATAAAAAAACATACTACTAATGATCTTTAAACAGGTTGAGTACCACATGATATGTCTTGACAAAATAGAATGTTGATATCAGAGTTGGCATCTTTGTGATAATTAGTAGAACTAAGAATGAGCAGTAATTATAACATTATTTGTTTGTTTGAAATTAACCACAAAGCTACAATTAGAACATTAAGAGATAGTGATTGCCAAATGAAAGTTGATTAAAATTTAACAGAACTTTATCATACTGATTCTTCCCAAATTATAAACTTGTTCATAAAATACCAATTGTGAGTTGGAAAATTTTCACTACGTCATTAAACGCTACGATTGATCCATCCATGGCTTTCAAATATCAAGTTGTGCAACTGTAACATAAAATTGATTTCCTGAAATACACAAGAATACTACTGGTAATGCAAGAGAAAACTTCTGAAGTAAGCTTACATGAATAGAAGTACATAGTACCCACTTTAAATAACTTTTTGCTTGAAGTTATGACATCTACAGTTGAACAGTGGTAAGAAACACATCTCAGTTAGGAAAACTATTTACGTAGCAGTGAAATGAGTGTTTGTTTTGTAATGATATCTGTAAAATAATAAAATAATTTGTCACACCAGGGATTACAGCATAGTCAGCATCTCCAGCAACGCTGGACTCTGGTGTCCGGTGTTTCAGGTTCAGATCTTCTGCACAGTAGTCAGGAACACATCCTGCATCAGATTCTTCATTCAGTGGATGATACGGGTTTTCTGTGAAAAGAATAACATGGGTACAATGGATAATTGCCAAAAGAAAACCCAAATAATGATCACTAGATGGCATTTGTAACAAATAGAAATACAAAATCCTAGATATTTGTCAACACATATATATGTTATATGCAGATATAATGTCTGTAAACCCAATAAAACTGAATCAAACTCATTGCCTATGTATTGACATTTAATATTATCTGTTTTTTGTATAGGAATTTAATTCTTTTAACAAACAACTCTGTTTAAAATTTGCGTCATATATATAGAACACTGACAATAAAAAAGTTAAATGTATTATTCTATTTTTGTAGTGCATATTGGTGTATAAAAAACATTTTAATACTAGTAATTAAAGAAAAATAACAAGTTTGGTGTTATAAGCTTGTTTATTATTATAATTATTAAAAAGTTAAAGGATTAGAATATAAGTTTTTGATATCAAAATATCCTTAAAGAGATTATTTCATAAAATATTTGTGAAAGAATTATAAAACCAAACAACTGTTAAGTAATATTTCTGTGAATAGAAATCTCAAAGGCACAACAATTATAATTGTGTGCATAAAGGCAGAAAGGTACTACTATTATTTGTAGGACTAACCTATAAGTTTTACTTGACCATCAGAGTATGGGTGATCTGTTACTGGGATCATGGAATGAGGGAGATTGTGGGGTTCATTAGCTAGAGAAGGTAATGATGACTGTACAGCTCTATCCATTGCCAAATTATAGCAGTTGAGGGGATGGTTAGGGGAGTAATAACCTGCAAGTTGGAATGGAAGAGACATCTCTGGGAATCGCACTCCTGGTCTTACTGGCGGAGTTGGAGCTCTATCTGAATTCCCATTAGAGCTGCAAGAAAGGGTTTCTCTTGGAGAGCCACTGTTATGGTGACTACCCATGGATGATGGAAACCCCCTTCCAACATAGGGATTTCTTGATGTTGGTTGCAAATGGCTCTGCAATATATAAGACAATGCTGAAAACACAATTTTTTTATGGAGTTGAATGTGATACCTTTTCACTGATACACGCATGTATAACTTGCTTAATTCTTATTACATATGGTTTTAAGTTACAGTTTTATCAGGTAGGCAGTAGCACTGCCTAGGTAAGGATGGCTCAGATTGTTCATTGAAGTGTTATTTTAAATATCTACTCAACAGATCATCAGAACTTTACAATACTAAACAGTGTTTTCTTTTATAACAATATCTATGTAATGACTGAGTCACAATGGGAATGTTTGTAAATATCATAGCAAGTTTGAATTTCTTGTTCTTCTTTTTTCTGCTTCTTTTTTATTACATGATAACTCAAAAACCTAAACAATGGTGTCAACCAATTTCACTTAGGTGATGTAGTTTCAACTGGAGTATCTGCTTTTATAAGTATTGATAATAACTGGTAGTAATTAAAAATAAAAATCATAATTCTAGTGTAACGATATTATCATTACCCCTTGAAGTCAGCTTCCTTATAGAAATTTGGTGTTCCTTTAAAAAAGCTTAAGTACAAGATGAAACAGGAATTACCAGCCAATAATAGATAAACAATAAATATTACAGTTGGAACCTCTTGTATTTAGAACTTGGTTATAAATTCAACTTTCCTATGTCTATTGAAACACTGCATTAAAAAAAAAACAAGTAAAGAAAAAAACTTTCAAAAAAGGAAAT